TGATAGTTTTTTATTCTATTCTTGACTGCAAAAAAATCATGAATAAGTGATAACATATCCGTCGCTTTTTAAAGTTTAAACGATAAATTTTAGACTTTCTCATAAAATTTGATTAATTTAAATAAATAATTCATATTCGAGGGCTGTTAATTTCCAAAATTAGCCATCTAATATCACATGGTATTTATTACAATATTATCTCATACGTTGTTAGCAAAGGGAAATTAATTTTGTTCATAAAAAACGAAAAAACATTTAAATCTACAAGCTAACAAATGTTAGTTTTAATTTATTAACTAATCGTATTTGAATATTTAACAAATATTAATTATAATTCCCTAATTATATTTGAATTTATAAAGTCAGTGGCATTAAACAAGTATCAATTTCACTATTACTAATTTTATTTAAATCCAAAAAGTCAATAATATTTAAATATGTCAATTTGAGTTTTCCATTTTAAACAACCATTTTCTCATATTTGCAATATTCAGTTTACTTTCTTTAATTTAATTGACAAATTGTTTCTTTGTTATTAAACATTATTCTATCGCCTCAATTAAATTTCGAATAAATGAATTAAGATATTTAATTAATTATTTCTTTAAAACAAATATTCCTTTAAATGACTGTTTCAATTTTAATTTCATCCTTCATTCCTTTCCTATCCATTCAGTATTAAAATAAAAAAAAGAAAAAAACATTTCATTAAAAAGTTATTCAATTTTTTCTGTCTTATCCCATTAAAATAATTTTTATAAGGTGGAGTTTTTCTTTCCTTTTTTTTCTCTCTCTTTCTTCCTCTCTCTCCTCTCCACTCCCTCTTTTCCCCCCCTCCCCCCCTCGAAACTTTCAATAATCTTTTTGTGTTTTTATATACCAATCATTAAGTAAATACTGTTACATAATTAAATTAATTTTATGCCACATTTTTATAATTTAAATAAATTTGTTTGACAATGCAAGTAATTTCATAAAAAAAAAAAAAAAATATTATTTAATCTTTATGTACCATTCGTTCTTTAATCATTCACATTACTATTTATGAGATTGGAAAAGAAATCAAAGAAAAAAAGAGCTAACAATGATAGCTTAAATTGATTCGTTTGTTTGTTTACTTACAGATAAATATATTGGGAAAATGATACAAATGATGGATTTGTCTTTATTAAAAATGATAAATTTACGTGATTAATCCGTGATACGTGCAACTTCATTGGGTAGATAATACGTAAACAATTTAACGTTATTTCAACTTTATTCAGTCGCATAAAAAAAAGTGTAAAGGATTAATTTTTTTCAAATTTTTTTCAACTTTTTTTTATTAATTCTAATTTCTTAATTTATTTCTTTTTAATTTCTAATTTTTCGTTTTTTTAATTTTCTTTTTTTTTGATTTCAAATTATTTTATTTGTATCAAATTTGTAATCGAAATTGTTTTTGAAAGCAATACATGCAATCAGTTAATTTAGATGATTGCAATAAATTTTTAAAAAAAGTTAATTCAAAAAAAAAAAAAAGAAAGAAAGAGAAATTTCGTTTTTTCTTCTTTATCTCACAAAAATTAATATTCAAAAGAACACTTTAGCAATAACTTTTTTTCTTTTTCCTTCTTATTTAGCATATTTAATGTTTTAATAGATGAAATGAAAATTATTTCTTGTCATATTCAAATCCATTACGCATAATAATATCACTTTTTTCATCTATTAAATTTAACATTAAAAATTATCAATCCATAGCATACATCATTTCGACATTTACCTTTAATTAATTACAAATGATATAGGAAATTGAAATGATCCAACTTTCATAATTTTCTTTTATTTGATATTTAAGTATACGGATCAAAGGCATACTTAATACAAGCAAGGTTCTATATCGAATAAGCTCATAGATCTTACTGTTCACTTCAACCTTTACTAATTACTTAATTAGGAAAGAACTTGATAATCTAATAATGATGTCATATTTTGAGTTATTGCTTATTGTTTTTCTTTTAAAACAAATATTGGCTTATTATTAAAAAACGAGTATGGAAAGTTCGTCGACACACTTTTTCTTTCTTCATTTCCTTTTCTCTCTCTCTCT